GGCGGGGGCGAGCAGGAGGACGAGCAGGGCGGCGGCGGCGGGAGCGATGGCGGCGGCGCGACGCCGCCGCCGTGAATCGATGGGGCGGGGTGCCCGCGCCGGGCTAAGCTGGCTGGCGCGCCATTTGCATGCTAAGCTGTTGGGAGGTTGCGGGCAAGGGCGTTTTTCATGGGGTGTTGTGGACTGCTAGTACTGGGGGACAGGCCGGTGGGGGGGGCTAATGCGCTGGCCGCCTCGGATCGCCGACAATTTTGGTCGCAAGGGGCAGAAGTCGTTTTGTTCCTGGGCCAAACCCAAAGCTGCCTTCAAGTCTGAGCGCGTGGCAATTGCCCGCTGCCACCTGGAAGCGGCTCGGCGATGCGGGCACCCCAAGCCTGCTGGCGCACCACGGTCACCCCGACGGCGCGACAGGCCCCCCGCGCACGTTTGAGGCGAAACTCGATACGCGTTGAACTTGGCTTACGAGATTTGCCCGCCTGAGAAACCATGATGAGCTTTTGACGTTTGAGGGGCTCTGCAGCCACATCAGCCCGGCCTGCCATTACGAGGTAACTAAGCAGATGCGTGGCTTCCCTTGGTGATGGGTTGGCGTAGATCCGCTCATGCGGGGGCCCTTCCAAACAGGCCCAGGTGTGGTACAGAGGAGCAAGAAATCATGAAGATGCCAGCCATATAGAAGCATACCATGATTGAAACTCAAGGGCATCTGCCTGTCCGCTCGAGATCAGACATGCCAGTGCGTCACTTGTGACACCTGGCGGCCTAGACACGTGGCGGCCGCGAAAGGTGCCATGTGCACATGGGCAGGGCAAGCAAGCGGTTGTGTGCCGAAGCCGTCGTACTCTACGCACAAACGTTTGTAGTTCTGGCCAACAGGCACAGTCAGGACAAGCCTGTGGGTTCGTGTCGTTTGTACCGCGTCTCAGCGCGACAAATCGCACGTGCCCTTGGCAGCCCTATATGCCAGGTGCTGATCAACACTTGTAAGAGTGCTGGTCTGTGCTCGCAAATCTCTCGACAGATCTCGCTGCTTTCTTAGTCTGAGCTTTTCTCCAGCTGTTCTGGAGCTGCTCCGGCAATAACAATCTTCAAAGGTGCATGCACGCTGATTATACAGCTCGTCGGGTCAGGTTGCGATGTTTCCCGAACCAACCGCGGTCCTGACAGCAGGGAGCACACACGACCGCCTGTCTTGGACAGTGCGCGATGCAGTTGCGCGCTGCAGCCCGCGCACAGGTGTGTCAACACCTGTATACGGCTCACAATATGCATGTGCCACCTATCAACAGGGACTGTGGCAGCCATGGGCAAAGATCCACCCCTAGGTGTTGCGGCCGTGTTGCTGCACGGCGGCCTGTCAGCCCTCGACGGCGGCAGCGCACACGCGGACGGCGCCGCACGTGCGGCGCTCGGGCGTCGCCTGCTGGCCCTGGAGCACCCGCCGGGCTCCATGCCACCCAACCAGATGGCGATCTACATCATCATAATCATTCTCCTTGTCATCATGGCTGGCCTGATGGCGGGCCTCACACTGGGCCTGCTGTCGATCGACAAGTGAGCGAGCTGCTCCAAGCCGAGGGGCTGAGGCGTGCGCAGAGACGCCGCACAGGTTCACAAGCAAGGGCGGCGTTTTGCCAACTTTTGCGCGTGCAGTCGGGCGCAGGTGGTCCATGGAGGGCCAAGAGCAACGCGTGTTGGGGGGTGTGCTGCCAAACTTCTTACGCACAACATGCGATACATGTTGTTCGCCAGAGCGGGCGGCACTCGCCGCCGGCTGCCTTACCACAGGCAGCTCGGTCCCTGCCTTCAATCAACCCGGCTGCAGCTACTCTCTCCCCCACACACATACACACTCTCACCCCCCCCACACCCACACACACACATGTGTGCACACTAACACACACTCCCTCCTGGCTTGTCACACAAAAACTCACGTGCCGTACTCAAACATGCACAAGCGCCCGAGATTTCTCTCCCTGTATACATCGTTCACCAGGGTGGACCTGGAGGTGGTGAAGCGCAGCGGCACCCCCAAGGAGCAGTGGCTCGTCAAGCAGGTGGAGCCGGTGAGCAGCTGCCCGCCAGGGAGCGGCAGCAGAGGACCACATCGCAGCAAAGGGGTCGTTCTCGGGGCAGGGGCGCTCCGCTTCCGCAGTGGTGGACGCGCGGGGCGGCATGTTACAGGCCGCTGCGGTGGTCGGACAAGCACAACACGGGAGAGCAGCGGGTGGCCAGCATGGTTGTGCAAGCAGCAGGGTGGTGGGGCTGGGGAGCTGACCAACCAGGACGAGAGCCTCACCCTACAACTGCTCCCGCCCCACGCACCGGCGCGTGCGCCCCCAGGTCCTGGCGCGGCCCCACTACCTGCTGGCCACGCTGCTGCTGTGCAACGCGGCGGCCATGGAGGCGCTGCCGATCTTCCTGGACCGACTGGTCAACCCTGTGGCGGCCATCGCAATCGCGGGTGGGCGCCAGCATGCTTCAGCCCGCCGAGCTTGTCGGCGGCCGGCGCGGCGCCGCGGGCTGGGTGGGCCGCCGCGCCCCACATGTTGATGCGCCGCGGGCGTGCGGCGACGTTCCTAGGCTGCAGGAAACAGACGCATGCGGCCTGCCGCGATGCGTATCATTCAAGTGGGGGTGTTCCCCAGCCTGCCCCGCCCTCTCGCCTCGTCATCGTGGTAGACCGAGTGCCCGTGCTCGCCGCCCTCCCGCAGTGACTGCTATCCTTGTGTTTGGAGAAATCTTGCCACAAGCAGTGTGCAAACGCTTTGGGCTACAGGTACGCCCGACGTCTGCGGTGCCTGGAACGCCGCATTGCTGCGCGGCTTACCCACCCACCTGCCTGCACGCGGTTGTTCGGGTGCATGCACGCATGCATGTGTCTTTTTGCACAACACGTGTTCATGTGCATGCACGCATGCGCATATACACACACATAAACATGCATACGTCCACTCCCAGGTTGGCGCCTACCTGGCATGGCCCGTGCGCATCCTGATGATGATCACCGGGATCGTAACCTACCCCATTGGGAAGCTGCTTGACTGGCTGCTGGGGGAGGAGAGCGCACTCTTCAGGTGCGGCCAGCCGCGGCGCCCCGGCTCTGGCCCTGTGCACGGACGGCAGGGGGCAGGGGCGTGCATGGTGGCGGCGCAGCTGATGCAGTTGTCCGGAGTGTGGCGTGTCCCCATGCCCCTGGAGCTTGCTGCCTGCCACTACTCACGTCTGCCCAGGCGTGCGTGCTCGCATGGTCCTTTCTCTATCGGTCCTCCATGCTCAAGACACACAAACACACACATGCAAGCACGTGCACGTACGCACACATTACACACACTACACAACTACACAACCTCGCTCCAGGCGCCACGAGCTCAAGGCTCTCGTGACGCTGCACGCGGAGCCCCAGGAGGGGGAGGAGGTCACCGCCCTCACGCAGGACGAGTGAGCAGGGCGGCGCGGCGGCCGGCCCGCCAGGGCTGCCAGGGCGCACGCCCGGGCCCAGCGGTGTGGTGGCCGCCCCTCGGTCCACGGGCCCCTCCCTGCCTGGGAAGCCAGCTGGTCTCGTGCAGCCCTTGTTTGCCCGTGTGGCTTGGGCGCATACGGCCTGCTGGTGCGCTGCCCGAACCTTCTGCATCCCACGCTCAATCGCGACCGGCCAACCCCAGCCCCACCCGTCTGCCCCCACCCCACCCCCACGTCCAGGGTCACAGTGATCCAGGGTGCGCTGGACATGGCCACCAAGACGGCCGGCGAGGCGATGACGCCTGTTGAAAAGGTGATGGGGCTCAAAGGTGTTGCGTGGCGAGCTCTCTGCTCCTCCCGCCGCTGGCGCCCTCCATCAAGTTTTATGGACCCGCTCCAACAACCGCCCCAGCCACACGCATGCAGCACACGACTACATGCATCCGCCGCACCTCTACATAATCTTTTCCTTTCCAAGACACACATTCACACGCACAACCTCGTTGACTCATACACCACCCCACCCCACACCGACCCCCAGGTGTTCATGCTGTCGACCGATGACGTCATCAACCTGGAGCTGCTGCACCGCGTCATCAACGCGGGCCACAGCCGCCTGCCGGTGTACAACGGGACGAACAAGCAGGCGCGTGTCATGGGGTGGCTGGCCAAACGCATGTGATGCAGATGAGGATTGCCCCAGCGACGGAGTTTGCACAAGCTGAAGTGCCGGTTTCGATTGACTGCAACGGGATTCAACCCTTGCTGCGGGCAACGTGTGGTGTGATGCCATGGCTATCAAACCCCTGTTGTGCGAGGCTACTCTCAAGCCGCGGAGCCCTCGAATCCACGTGCTGCCCCGCTCAGAGCGCGCTCCGTCTCCTGTGACCCACAGCTATGTACCCACGGCTCCGCACATCGGGAGCCCCCGCCCCTTTTCGCCTCCAGACACCTCACAAACCCGAATCATGCTTCTCAAGCCTTAACTCATGACCATATCTCATCGTCTTCACAATCTGATCCCCAGGAGATCCTGGGCCTGATCCTGGTGAAGGAGCTGGTGCTGGTGGACGAGACCGCGGGGGTGCGGGTGCGGGAGCTGAGGCTGAGGGAGGTGCCCTTCATCAGGTCAGGACACGTGGGGGGGTGGGGGGGGCGCGCGTGGGGATGATGGGCGCATGCACGTGAGTGCATACGCATGTGTGCGTGCGCGCGTGCGTATTTGTGTGTGTGCGCGTGTGTGTAAGAGAGGGAAAGAAAGAGAGTGTGTGTGTTTGTGTGATTCATCAGGGGCCAGGTTGATTTAGGCAGGTTGGATTGAGCGTGCTCGGCAGCAGATCATC